ACACAATAAATACAAATAGTGGTGAGTGCTCTGAGAGAAACAAACAGGGTGAGGTGACAGAGTAATGGGGAAGGAGGTGATTACAGTAACTAGAATGGTCGGGAAAGGCTTCTCTGAGGAGGGGACATGTGAGCTGAGAACAGAAGGCTTAGAAGGAGGAAGTCATGGTAAAGAGCTGAGGGGTGCAAAATGGATAGTAATGCCTATTCCCATACCTGTGCCAGGGAAGAAGTAATTTCCGTATTTGTGGAAGGACACTGTCATGACCCGGTCAGTGAGGTAGAAGGCTTCCTGAACCCCGTCACCATGGTGGATGTCAATATCAATGTAGAGCACCCGAGGGTGGTACCTGGGATGGGGTCAAAGCCAGGGTCTGAGGTAGAGGTGAACCCTCCAACCCACTCCTCCCAAACACAGGGTCTGGAATTATGAAGAGTTTGCTTCTGCCCAAGTCACCTGAAACCTAATACCACCAGTTCCCTAAGGGCAACTCTGGGGCTCCAGCCTGGAGGCTGGAGGCAGGGACAGGAGAGGGATGTGCAGAGAAGGCTGAAATGTGAGTAGGCAGTAGCAAATCTGCTACTGCAGAAGAGAGGAAGAAGCAGCCTAAGTAAAGCTTCAAGAAATGGGGAGAAGCAAGTGGAGGAGGAAGAGGTCAGGGTCAGGGCCAGGGCAAAGTCTTGGGGACCTGATCAGCTAAGAGTCCTGTAAGTGCCCCCACTTCCTCCTGGGCTACTTACTTGAGCAGCTCCAGGATGCCAATTACAATGTCATTGACATAGCAGAAGCCAGAGGCCTATGGCAAAACAATGATCTTATAAACGGAGGAACAAGTCTTCCATGCAACTGCCCCTGCTATCACCCTGACCATCTACCTGAGAGTGGCCACTGTCTCCCCCATCTTCACTCACCTCAAACTTCTTGGCATGGTGTAGACCACCAGCCCAGTTAATGGCAATATCACAGATCTGAAAGAGAAACACCCAATTTACAGTCTTCTTCCCGCCTATCCCCAAAGCTGAGGCTCTGAGTCCTGGGAACCATAGGAAAGAGGGAACAGAACTTGGGACTATGTCACCTTGTTGTTCAGCTGGGTTGCTCCTTGCAGAGATGCACCTGTGTAACGGGAGCAGAACTCAAAGAGTCCGGGAAACACTGGGCTGCAGTGAAGAGGAGCAAGTTAGAACCCTCTTTCCTCTTTCCTATACCTCCCTCCCCACCCTAAATTCCTTCATTTTCCATTTTTCAGTAACCCTCTCTCCCCCTCCTACATATCTGAGCTATCTGCAAATTTATTCAACAAATATTTTAGACCAAACCATGTGCCAAGCCCTGTGCAAGGCACCAGATGAAAAGCAAAGAAGCATTTAACTGTCAGGGAGTTTGTACCCTAGCTTGGGAGAAAAGCAAGTAGCTTCTAAGTACTTGAGTATAATACACGAAGAAAGGAAATGAGCCGAGAGAAAACATGAGCTCTGTTTTTCTTCTATGTGTAACACATTTTAACATAATGTTCAATAATCTTTATAGTCACACTTTTTTTTTTTTTTTTTTTTTTAGATGACCGGTAAGGGGATCTTAACCCTTGACTTGGTGTTGTCAGCACCACGCTCAGCCAGTGAGCGAACCGGCCATCCCTATATGGGATCCGAACCCGTGGCCTTGGTGTTATCAGCACCGCACTCTCCCGAGTGAGCCACGGGCCAGCCCCCTATAGTCACACATTTTAAAGAAAAAATTATATTCCTGTATACATGAAACAGTAATAATGAAATAACCCACAGAAAGCCCTTAGCAGTGTGTGGTACCTGGTAAAGCTTTAGTAAATGTTAGCTATAATTATTACCACCTACATTCTTTATAAAAAGAAGAGGCTTGAAGACAGACACAAAAGGCTATATTACTGTATGACTCCATCTACATAACATTCTGGGAAAGGTAAAATATAAGGACAAACATTTAATCAATAGTTGCCTGGAGCTAAGGTGGAGAAAACGGATTGACTACAAAAAGGTATGAGGGACCTTTGTGGGGTTACAGAAATATTCTATACCTTGATACATTCTATCGAAACTCTCAGAACTGTTACAGCTAAAAAAGGTGAATTTTACTGTACACAAATTATACCTTCATAATCCTGACTTTAAAGAAAGGAAAGGCTTAAAAAATTCCTAGTTTTAGGTCTCCAAGAAATAGTGCAGCTGATATATTTGACCATATGAAAAACAGAATTGTAGGGAGTTTTATACTTTCTCAAGAGATTTGGAAAGTATTAGTGATTGATACCTAGAAAACTAAGCAAGTGAAAAAATTAATGCAATTTTCAGCTCCAGGGAAAAACAAAAAGTTGTACAAGAAAATAGAGTAAATCAAAGTAAATGATTTGGCTCAATAGTAAGTGATTTTTTCATAGTGATAATAATGTAAACATAAAATACTGGTTTATTAAAAAATTGTGATATAACTATATTGTGAAGCTGGGAGGGGAGGGGAAGCCAGAATGATGGTAGGAGAAGACTATCCCATACTAAGAGCTTAATAGACAATGCCTAAACTAATAAAGGAAGAAATAACAGTAAGAGACAATACAGTAGGGTAGCATGATTATGAGCCCAGATTCTGGAGCTAGCCTACCTAGGTTCAAATCCTGACTCTTTGCATAACAAATGCTGGTGAGGATGCAGAGAAAGGGGAACCCTCCTTCACTGTTGGTGGGACCATAAATTAGTGTTTTATAGAAAACAGTACGGAGGTTCCTCAAACAACTACAGATAGAACTGCCATACTATCCAGCAATCCTACTGCTAGGTATATACCCAAAGGAATGGAAAGCATCATGTCAAGAGGACACCTGAACTCTCATGTTTATCACAGTTCTGTTTACAATTGCTAAGAGTTGGAACCAACCTAAATGACCATCGACGGATGACTGGATAAGGAAAACGTGATATATATATACTCAAAAGAATACCAATCTGCCATAAAAAAGAATGAAAATTCTGCCACTTGCAGCAACATGGACGAACTTAAAGAAAATTATGTTAAGTGAAATAAGCCAGGCACAGAAAGAGAAATACCACATGTCCTCACTCATAAGTGGGAGCTAAAAAAAAAAATAAACAAATTTTTAAAAAAAGAAAGATACAATGATCACAATAACGCATTGAACTTTCAAAAGGAGAGAACAGAACTGGTTATCAGAGGTGGGAAAGGGAGAGGGGGAAGAGGAGTTAGCAAGAAATTGGTAAAGGCCACAAAAAATGATTACATTGTGTAATGTTTAATATACTAATCATCCTGATTTGAACACCACATACTGCATACCAGTACTGATATTCAATTCAATGTAGTACCCACAGATATGTACAATCAATTATGTTTCAATAAAAAAGTAAATAAATAAAAACAAATCCTAGCTCTTTAACACCTACTAATGAATATGAGGGTGGGCAAACTGTTTAACCTTTCTGTGCCTAATTGTCCTCATCTATAAAATAGAGACAATAGACCCTACTTGATAGGGATTGTTGAGAGTAAATGAGCTAATGGCTATAAAGCATTTAGAATAGTACCTAGCACATGGTAGGTATTACCTAAGTATTACAGATTAGCAGCAGCAGTAGCAGATTAATATTATTTTGAAATCCAAAGATAAATACCAGAAGAAACAGGTAAAGGAGCTGAAAGTGGCTGCCACTGGGAGAGAGATTTAGGGTTGGGAAGGATAGGTCTGCCCTAACCCTTGTAGTATGATTCAGCTATTTATATTAGATTACTTTGAAAACAATCAGAAATTAATTAAAAGGGAAAAAAAGGGAAGGAAAATCCCTGATTCTCATCTGAAACACAGATAAGCACAACTGTAGCTTAAGGTTGACGAATGCTGCACAAAAGGACCCAAGGTAGTATTCTCTAACCACACAAAGAGCATCTTTAGGGCCCCAGCTGTGGCCTAAGGACTGACTCTGCATTCCCAGCTCTACAAAGTAAACTCAAAAATAGCAGCAGGAACAGTAACCAAAAAAAAAAAAAAAAAAAAAAAAACCCCC